ATTTAGCCATGGCAGTTATAAGTGGTGCCAAACTACAGAAGAGTTTTCCAAACATTTCATGCTTGTGACATAGGTTTTTCCCCCAACGTACATCATTGCACGACACAGTCATTTGGATTTATGAGCAAACTAGAGGTTAAACCGATTCCTTAGAAAAATGACCACACACATAAAACTGTCATAACGAAATGCATGAGGATGCATCTCATGAAGACTTTTGTAAAAAAATAATAATGATTTATTGCTATTTCGCAAAGACATAAGCTGGATCTACACTGCCCTATATCCCAGGATCTTATCCCAGATTACCTGGCAGTGTAGACTCATATAATCCAGTTCAGAGGTTGCTCCTTGTGCTCACATGATACACCTGTGCATTACAGATGAGATGTGAATGTGTTGCAATACACAGTTTGCAAAGCCTTGTTTTACAGTTTAGACGCAGCTTCTGATTCTATACCAGAAAGCTTTCCCTGAGAGAGAGATATGGTACAGTCTCAGTTATCCAACCTTCGCTCATCCAACATTCTGTATTATCCAATGCAGTCTGCTGTAGTCAATGTTTTCAATACATGGCAATGTATTGTTGAAGGCTTTCATGGCTGGGATCACTGGGTTGTTGTAGGTTTTTTCGGGCTATATGGCCATGGTCTAGAGGCATTCTCTCCTGACGTTTCGCCTGCATCTATGGCAAGCATCCTCACTACCTCTGAGAATGCTTGCCATAGATGCAGGCGAAACGTCAGGAGAGAATGCCTATAGCCCGAAAAAACCTACAACCCAATACATGGCAATGTTTTAGTGCTAAATTCGTAAACACAGTAATTACTACGTAACGTTGCCATGTATTGAACTACTTTTTCTGTCGATTTGTTGTAAAACATGATGTTTTGATGCTTAATTTATAAAATCATAATGAAATTTGACATTTAATATCCTTAATCCCTCCTTATTATCCAACATTTTTGCGAATCCAATGTTGTCCCAGCCCATTTATGTTCGATAAGCGAGAGTCTACTGTAGATAAATCCAGGAGTTATAGCAATTAATTGGACTTCCCGGTAATCCCAGTGGCCACAACCCCTTAATACAGTTCCTCCTGTTGTGTTGACCCCAACCATAAAATTATTTTCATTGCTACTTCATAACCGTAATTTTGCTACTGTTATGAATCGTAATGCAAATATCTGATATGCAGGATGGATTTTCATTCACTGGACCACATTTGGCACAAATACCCTATAGACCCAAATTTGAATACTGGTGGGGTTGGGTTAGGGGATTGATGTTGTCATTTGGGAGTTGTAGTTTCTGGGAGTTATAGTTCACCTCCAATCAAAGAGAATTCTGAACTCCACCAAGGATGGAATTGAACCAAACTTGGCACACAGAACTCCCATGACTAGCAGAAAATACTGGAATGGTTTGGTGGACATTTACCTTGAGTTTGGGAGTTGTAGTTCACCTACATTCAGAGCAACACCTACATTTGGAGCAATTCAGGATTTTGGGCATCCAATTTGAATTGAATTTGGAATTTGGAAGTTGTCGCCCCAACACTTGGGCTACAAACCCTCAGATGACCCAAGATCACATCCGCCGATCTTGCAAAGCATCATAAGCTTACAAACTATGAACAGATAGGAGAAACTTGAACGTTGTGCAAGGGAAGAACAGCATATGATGCTAAGGATGAACCAAGATGGGATTTAAGGTGAACTTAAGGTGATCCCATCTCCCAACCTTCATCTCCGCTCCGGACCCTAATTCTAATTTCCTTTGTTGAAGGCACTTCAAACTCACGTCAAGCAAGACAAGAACGTCAAAGGTCAGGGGACGTTTTGGGATCAATACGGAATCAATTCAAATCACAATAAAGAAAAGGAGACAACTCTCATAACCCCGGAGCCCTGGCAGAAATGATTCATATATCCCGACGTATCGACCGAGAGAAATAATTGGAAGGAAGAGGAAGAACGACGGGTAGGGAAGAGTTTGTAAACGCAGCGATCGCCGGCAACAAAGAGGGAGGAAACACCGAGGAAGGAAAAAGTTAAACTGATGGGAGATTCTTGAAAATGCTTTGCAATGGTTTTCCAAAACAGAAGAACTTTACAAAAATATTTGAAAATTGGAAAAACAGAGGACGGATCCTCAACGAGAAGGGAATGTTCTCTCCTTTATCTCCAGCATCAGGAATAACTCTTTCCAACAACCCTCTCACTCTTTCTTTTTTTGCTATCCAAAAGTGTTACTTTCATAAACGCAAACAAGAAATGCAACACTTGGATTGTTGTAGGTTTTTTCGGGCTATATGGCCATATTCTAGAGGCATTCTCTCCTGACGTTTTGCCTGCATCTATGGCGAGCATACGGACCTCACTACCTCTGAGGATGCTTGCCATAGATGCAGGCGAAATGTCAGGAGAGAATGCCTCTAGACCATGGCCAAATAGCCCGAAAAAACCTACAACAACCCAGTGATTCCGGCCATGAAATCCTTCGACAATGCAACATTTGTTTCAGGGTGTGTGTCACACATAGATACATATATGTAAACACACACATATATATCCATATAAATGTTATCCGATACTGTCTGTCACTTCCAGCCTAAACTGTTTCTGATTCTGCTGAAAGATACATCTGAAAACAGTTATGTTCCTGCACGGTCCTAATGGCTTATGCGCAACGCAAAGAGCAACAACACTAAGCGTGTGTTTGGGAATAAAAGGGACGTTTACTCCCTCTTACTTAATACCAGCGCCTGTGTTTTGACAATGAGACGGAAGAGATTTCAAGAAAATCACAGCACTTTCAATGCCGAAAAAAACGATAACAACAACTCAAAGCGTTCAGAAAACTCTCAGCTTAAATCTCAACTATGGATCAAATGAGTTGTTGTAGGTTTTTTCGGGCTATATGGCCATGTTCTAGAGGCATTCTCTCCTGATGTTTTGCTTGCATCTATGGCAAGCATAATAAGAGGTAGTGAGGATGCTTGCCATAGATGCAGGCGAAACCTCAGGAGAGAATGCCTCTAGAACATGGCCATATAGCCCAAAAAAACCTACAACAACCCAGTGATTCCGGCCATGAAAGCCTTCGACAATACATTGAACATCTCTATGGGGAGAAACTGTTCCAAGACACACAAAAATATAGATCTAATATTTTGATGACTGGATCTATCATACAAATGTGTTACTGAATCATTATTATGTTGTTTTGGGTCTCGATCCAGAAAGAAAAGTTGGGGATCAGTAATAAGTATAATGATCCACAGGAAAAAGGGACAATTAATACTTTTCACTATCTAAAAAAATTCCGAAAACTCTCTTTTGAAGTCTCCAATCAGACAATGATGGAATCAACCATGTACTTTGACAACTGACTGATACATCTGGAGCCCTTGGCGGTGCAGTGGGTTAAACTTCTGTGCCGGCAGGACTGAAGACTGACAGGTCACAGGTGCAAATCCGGGGAGAGGCGGATGAGCTCCCTCTATCAGCTCCAGCTCCTCATGCGGAGACATGGGAAAAGCCTCCCACAAGGATAAAAACATCAAAATCATCCAGGCGTCCCCTGGGCAACGTCCTTGCAGACGGCCAATTCTCTCACAACAGGAGCGACTTGCAGTTTCTCAAGTCACTCCTGACACGACAATAAGGATAATAATTCACAGAAAAAAGGACAGTTAATACTTTTCACTATCTAAATATCATTCCAGAAACTCTTTTTTGAAGTCTCCAATCAACAACGATGGCATCAACCATATACTTTGACAACTGAATGATACATCCATCATATGCATGTGTTTCTGGAGTAATTTGACTACTTTGGGTTTCAATCAAGACAAAAAAGTGGGGAATAATAAAATAATAATAATAATAATCAATATATTATCATCTTAAAAACTCTTTTTTGAAGTCTCTAATCAACAACAATGGAATCAATCATATACTTTGACAACTGACTGATACATCCATCATATGTATGTGTTACTGGAGTAATTCGACTATTTTGGGTTTCAATCAAGGGAGAAAAGTGGGGAATAATAAAATAATAATAATCATCAATATATTATCATCTAAAGACATTCTGGAAACTCTCTTTTGAAGTCTCCAATCAACAACGATGGCATCAACCATATACTTTGATAACTGAATGATACATCCATCATATACATGTGTTCCTGGAGTAATTCGACTACTTTGGGTTTCGATCAAGGGAGAAAAGTGGGGAATAAAATAATAATAATAATCAATATATTATCATCTAAAAACATTCTGAAAACTCTCTTTTGAAGTCTCCAATCAACAACAATGGAATCAACCATATACTTTGATAACTGAATGATACATCCATCATATACATGTGTTACTGGAGTAATTCGACTACTTTGGGTTTTGATCAGGGGAGAAAAGTGGGAAATAATAAAATAATAATAGATATATTATCGTCTAAAAAAATTCTGAAAACTCTCTTTTAAAGTCTCATTCAGACAATGATGGAATAAATCTATATATGCTGATAACCGAATGATAAAATCCATCATACTCATGTGTCGAATATTTTGGGTTTCGATCAAGAGAGAAAAGTGGGGAATAATAAAATAATAGCTATATTATCATCTAAAAACATTCTGAAAACTCTCTTTTAAAGTCTCAATCAGACCATAATGGAATCAACCCATATATGTTGATAACCGAATGATAAAATCCATCATACTCATGTGTCGAATACTTTGCGTTTCGATCAAGAGAGGAAAAGTAGGAAATACAGTAATAACATAATTGGTAGAAAATAGAACCATCCCTACTTTTCCCTATCTGAAAATACTCCAGTTTGTTGTGACTGCAGAGTAATGGGCAAGATCAAGCGAAGATGCGTCACTTTCATTGTAGAAAAAGGGAAAGAGTTGGGAGAATCCCACCGAGTGTTTCCAATCTCTGCCCCGATGAAAGGTGGGTGGCATGAAAGAGGGGCACCCCCCTTACCTTTGGGCAGCAGTGTTGGCGTCCAAGATGCCCGTGCTCTGCATCCAGGACCTCACGGCCGACAGCCCGCCGGTCAAGGGCTCTTCCTTCATGGTCAGCCCACCTCTGGGGAGACCCTCCTGGATGGAGAACATCAAAACAGCCTGGTCAGGGAGGCACCGTGTGTGTGCGCGGAGGAGATGGAAAAGTTTGGGGTCTCCCTGGCTTCCCTTTTATCTCTTAACCAATAATCCTCAAACAGGGGGTCGGTTGGAGGGGGGTGGGCGAACTCCCCCAGTCTTTGGAGACAAAACCAGCGCCTCCTTGAGCCACCTGCCGCAAAAGAAAGCCCAGCTAAGCTGCCCAGGAGAAGGAGGTGACACAATCCAAAGGGAAGGAGCAGCAAACTCTTTGGGCTGGTTTGTTTGTTTCCAAGTGGCGGGGAGGGTGGGACTTGCAGTGGGAGGAGGATTTGGGGAAGAGGGGGAGAAAGAAAGGGGGAGGAAGAGAGGAGGAAGAGAGGCTCTTTAGGAGCCAAGCAGCTGGAAAGAGAGGAGGGTGGGTTTAGCAGGCAGGGAAAGAAGGAGAGGGAGGGAGGGAAGGAGGAAGGGAGGGAAGGAGGAGGGAATCACAGGAAGGAGAGGCAGAGATTGAAGCCCCCAAGGGAGAAGGGAGGGGTGGGGAAAACTCTGAAGAGAGAGAAGGAGGGAGGGAGGAAGAGGAAGGAAGAGGAAGGAAGGAAGGAGTGGCAAGCCAGGAGGGTCAGGAGAGAGGCACAGGGTGGAGGAGGAGGATACAATGCAGCCACAGCAGCAGCAGCAAGCAACATCCCAATGTATCCTCTTCTTCCTTCTGAGCATCTTTATTTCAGCAGACAGAAAAGAAGGAAGGAAGGAATAGCTGGACCACTGAGGAGGAAGAGGAAGAAAGGCCAGCTGGATGGAGAAGGACAAGGGGAAGGAGGAGGAATTGGGAAAGGAAGGAAGAGAAAGAGGCGAAGGAAGAGAGGAAGGAAAAGATCAAGGTATAGCTGGACCACTGAGGAGGAAGAGGAAGAGGAAGAAAAGCCAGCTGGATGGAGAAGGACAAGGGGAAGGAGGAGGAATTGGGAAAGGAAGGAAGAGAAAGAGGTGAAGGAAGAGAAAGAGGCGGAGGAAGAGAGGAAGGAAAAGATCAAGGAATAGCTGGTCCACTGAGGAGGAAGAGGAAGAAAGGCCAGCTGGATGGAGAAGGACAAGGGGAAGGAGGAGGAAATGGGAAAGGAAGAGAAAGAGAGGAAGGAGAAGATCAACTGAGATGTGAAAGGTGATCCATGTTGAAGTTGAAAAGGATGAGGAGAAGGGGCTGCTTCTTGTAACTGAGGAGAGGGAACCAGAAGGAAAGGAAAGAAGGGAAGAGAAGGAGGTCAAGAAGAAGCCGAGATGAGGGCTGGCTGGTGAAGGGATTGGAGAGGAGGATGGAGCAGAAGGAAGTAAGGAATTGGGGAGGAAGAGGGAAAGGGAGAGAAGTTGGGAGGGATGCTTTCTGAGTATGGATGAGTGGAAGGAAGTAGGGAATAGAGAGGAGGAGGAAGAGAGGCAATAGAGGAAAGAAAGCAGAAGCTGAGGTGTGAAAGGTGATCCATGTTGAAGTTGGAAGGGATGGAGGAGAAGGGGCTGCCTCTTGTGACTGAGGAGAGGGAAGCAGAAGGAAAGGAAAGGGGGAACGAGGACTGGAGGTCAAGAAGAGGCTGAGATGAAGGTTGGCTGGTGAAGAGATTGGAGAGGAAGAAGAAGCAGAAGGAAGTAAGGAATGGGGAAGAGGAAGGAGAAGAATGGAAAGGTTGGGAGGGATTATTTCTCATTGTGGAATATGGGGTCAAGGGAAGGTTGAGATGAAGGCTGGCTGGTGAAGGGATTGGAGAGGAGGAAGGAGTAGAAAGAAGTATGGAATCGGGAAGAGGAAAAAAAGAAGGAAAAGTGGAGAAGTTGAGGGATTCTTTCTGAGTGTGGACTAGGAGAAGGAAGGAGGGAAGAGAAGGAGGAGGAAGAGAGGCAGAAGAGGAAGGAAAGGAGAAGCTGAGGCTGAAGCTAAAAGGTGGTCCGTGTTGAAGTTGGGAGGGATGGAGGAGAAGGGGCTGCTTCTTGTGAGAAGATGGAAAGGAGAAGTTGGGTGGGTTTCTTTCTGAGTGTAGACTAGCGGAAGGGCTGCTTCTTGGGACCGAGGACAGGGAACCAGAAGGAAAGGAAAGGAGGAGGAGAAGAAGGAACAAAAAGACTGGAGGTCAAGGGGAGGCTGAGATGAAGGCTGGCTGGTGAAGGGATTGGGGAGGAAGAAGGAGCAGAAGGATGGAAGGAACTGGGGAGGAAGAGGGGAAGGTGGAGAAGTTGGGAGGGAGTCTTTCTGAGTATGGATGAGTGGAAGGAAGGAGGATGAGAAGCACTAGAGGAAAGAAAGCAGAAGTTGAGGTGTGAAAGATGATCCATGTGGAAGTTGGAAGCGGTGGAGGAGAAGGGGCTGCTTCTTGTGACTGAGGAGAGGGAACTAGAAGGAAAGGAAGTAAGGAACTGGGGAGGAGAGGGGAAGGTGGAGAAGTTGGGAAGGAGTCTTTCTGAGTGTGACTGAGGAGAGGGAACCAGAAGGAAAGGAAAGGAGGAAGAGAAGGACCAAAGAAAGTGGAGGAGAGGGACCACTAAGCCTGGAGGTCAAGGGGAGGCTGAGATGAAGGCTGGCTGGTGAAGGGATTGGAGAGGAGGAAGGAGCAGAAGGAAGAAAAGAGGGAAAGGTGGAGAAGTTTGGAGAGCTACTTTCTGAGTGAGGAAGAGGGTAAGGGCTGCTTCTTGTGACTGAGGAAAGGGAACCAGAAGGAGAGGAAAGGAGAAGGACCAGAAAGCTTGGAGGTCAAGGGGAGGCTGATTTGAAGGCTGGCTGGAGAAGGGACTGGAGAGGAGGAAGGAGCAGAAGGCAGGAAGGAAGGAGGAAGAGGGAAAGTTGGGAGGGCTGCTTCTTGTGACTGAGGAGAGGGAACCAGAAGGAAAGGAAAGGAGGAGGAGGAGGAGGAGAAGGACCAAAAAGCCTGGAGGTCAAGGGGAGCTTGAGATGAAGGCTGGCTGGTGAAGGGATTGGAGAGGAGGAAGGAGCAGAAGAAAGGAAGGAACTGGAGAGGAAGAGGGGAAGGTGGAGAAGTTGGGAGGGCTACTTTCTGAGTGTGGAAGTGGGGGAGGGCTGCTTCTTGTGACTGAGGAGAGGGAACCAGAAGGAAAGGAAAGGAGGAGGACCAAAAAGCTTGGAGGTCAAGGGGAGGCTGTGATGAAGGCTGGCTGGAGAGAGGATTGGAGAGGAAGAAGGAGTAGAAGGAAGTTAGGAATGGGGAAGAGGAAAGAGAGGATGGAAAAGAGGAGAAGTTGGGCGGGATTCTTTCTGAGTGTGGAAGAGAGGAAGGGCTGCTTCTTGTGACGGAGGAGAGGGAACCAGAAGGAAAGGAAAGGAGGAGGAGAAGGACGAAAGGAAGAGGAGGAGAAGGACCAGAAAGCTTGGAGGTCAAGGGGAGGCTGAGATGAATGCTGGCTGGAGAAGGGACTGGAGAGAAGGAAGGAGCAGAAGGCAGGAAGAGGGAAAGTTGGGAGGGCTCCTTCCTGAGTGTGGAAGAGGGGGATTTGGGGAGGGGGCGAGGGGGGGGGGTCGGCCTGGCTCTGGCCTTCCTCTGCCTTGAGGGCCTTCCAGGAGAGCCTTTCTCCCGAGGGGCTGCGTGCCTGGCCTCCCCTCCCCTTGGGGCCTGCTTTTACCGCGGCGTGGGGGAGCCGGGGGGTCCGTGTGGGGCCCTCCGCTGCCCGGCCATGGCGCCTCCGCCTTCCTCCTCTTCCTCCTCTATCTTCTCTCCCGGGGAGCAGCGGCGGCAGGAGCGTGGGTGGCGTGGGCGTGGGGAGCAAGAGCAGCAGGAGCCTCCTCCGGCGGGGGTCCCCCGGGAGAAGGGCGCCTCCGCCCCCTCCTCCGCCTCTCCGCCTCCGCTGGGCCTCCTCCTCCTCCTCCTCGTCGTCTTCCTCCTCCTCCTCCTCTTCCTCGTCCTCCTCCTCCTCTTCTTCTCCCGGGAGCAGCACCATGAGGAGGGCCAGCCAGGGCTGCCCAGGGGCGGGGAGGGGGCTGCTTCCTTGGGGGGCGGCTGCGGATGATCCTCCGGCCGGGCCGAGCCGGGCCATGCCTCCTCCGCCGCCTCCCCAGGGAGGGAGGAGGGAGACGAGGAGGAGGAGGAGGGGGAGGAGGGAGGGAGGAGGGGGAGGCCCGCAGGGAGAGAGGGGAGGGGGCTGGCCAGGCCCGGCCGGGCTGACATCATCCGGGAGGGAAGAAGGGGAGGGGCGGGCGCCAAGGGACGCAGCCAAGCAGCCAGCCAGGCAAGCAGGGAGCCCCCCCACCCCCGGCCTTGGCCAAGAAGAAGGAAGACCCCCCCAAGACCCCCACGGCCGGAAGAGACCCCCCTTTCTCCCCCAAATCCAGAGGGAAGAAGAAGAGGAGGAGGAATCCCCCTCCACTCCAGTTGGGATTTGGGAAGGGGCTTCACTCCAAGGAGGCCCCCATTCAAGGTCTTTGAGTGGAGAGAGAGGGAAGGGGGAGAGGGGAGAGGCAAGGGAGCCCCCTCCTCATTGGCATTTGGGAAGGGAGGAAGGTCAAGGGGACTCAGGATGTGGGGGGGGGGCTGCAACAAGAGAGGTGGGGGAGAGGCAGAGGCAGCCCTAGGTAATTTTCAATGGTAAGCAAACAGTATTTTGGCGCCCCCCCCCAACCAATCATTGATATATATTTTCTGTTTGTCGTGGGAGTTCTGACTGCTAGGGCTGTTGTGAGCTGAGGGGGTGCTCCTCAAGTGGGGGTCGAGGGGCATTTACAGAGGCGCCTCTGCGCCCCTGGCAAAAAAAGTGTTCTGCGACCGCTTACTTCGTGTAATGGATGAGCCGCCCCTGGGGACAGGAAAGGGAACCCTTTTCCACTGAGTTTGGGAGAGGGAAGCCCTGCCCCACTGAGAAGCCCCTTTGAGCCTCCTTGGGGAGAGAAAAAACAGGTTCTAAATCAGCAAAACTATACCAACAATCACACCGCCAGAAGGGACCCCCCCCCCCAAAGGAAAGGGAAAAGAGCCCAATTCAAGATATTTGGGTAGCCAGAAGGGACCCCCAAGGAAAAGGAAAAGAGCCAAAGGAGCTCCAATTCAAGACATTTGGGTGGGGGGGGGAGATGGAAGGGAATACCAGTTGGGGGTGCAGAGAGGGAAGGGAGCCCCTTCCTCATTGGGATTTGGGAGGGGGGAAAGCCCCCCCCAAACACACACACACCGTGATTGAGGGGGAAAGAAGGAATCCCCTGGAGTCAGGATGTGGGGGGGGGGGGCTGCAACAAGAGGGGTGGGGGACAGGAAAGGGAACCCTTTTCCACTGAGTTTGGGAGAGGGAAGCCCTGCCCCACTGAGAAGCTCCTTTGAGCCTCCTTGGGGAGAGAAAAAGCAGGGTCTAAATCAACAAAACTATACCAACAATCACACTGCCAGAAGGGACCCCCCCCCCCAAAGGAAAGGGAAAAGAGCCCCAATTCAAGATATTTGGGTAGCCAGAAGGGACCCCCAAGGGAAAGGGAAAGAGCCAAAGGAGCCCCAATTCAAGACATTGGGGTGGGTGGGGGGAGATGGAAGGGAATCCCAATTGGGTGCAGAGAGGGAAGGGAGCCCCTTCCTCATTGGGATTTGGGAGGGGGAAAGCCCCCCACCCTCGGCCTTGGGCAAGAAGAAGGAACACCCCCCAAGACCCCCACCGCAGGAAGAGACCCCCCCTTTCTCCCCCAAATCCAGAGGGAAGAAGAAGAATCCCCCTCCACTCCAGTTGGGATTTGGGAAGGGGCTTCACTCCAAGGAGGCCCCTGGACTCAGGATGTGGGGAGGGGTCTGCAACAAGAGGGGTGGGGGAGAGGAAGGGGAACCCTCTTCCACTGAGTTTGGGAGAGAGAAGCCCTGCCCCACCGAGAAGCCCCTTTGAGCCTCCTTGGGGACAGAAAAGGTAAAGGTAAAGGTAGTCCCCTGACATTAAGTCCAGTCATGTCTGACTCTGGGGTGTGGTGCTCATCTCCATTTCTGAGCCGAAGAGCCGGCGTTGTCCGTAGACACCTCCAAGGTCATGTGGCCGGCATGACTGCATGGAGCGCCGTTACCTTCCCGCCGGAGCGGTACCTATTGATCTACTCACATTTGCATGTTTTCGAACTGCTAGGTTGGCAGAAGCTAGGCTGACAGCGGAAGCTCACGCCGCTCCCCGGAATCGAACCTGCGACCTTTCGATCAACAAGCTCAGCAGCTCAGCGCTTTAACCCACTGAGCCACCGGGGGCTCCGGGGATAGAAAAAGCAGGGTCTAAATCAACAAAACTATACCAACAACACTGCCGGAAGGGACCCCCAATGGAAAGAGAAGGAGCCAAAAGAGCTCCAATTCAGGATATTTGGGTGAGGGGAGATATATATTTATATATAAATTATTTATGTCATTTTATCCCGCGTATATCAGCCCGAAGGCAACTCAGGGCAGCGTACAGATCGGCAACAAATAGAGGCCATATATAAAAGTTCATACATCAGTAAAAAGCAAAACAAAACATCACAATACATTGAAAAACCATAAAAACAATGAATAATAAACATTATAAAAAACATGTCTTCTTCTTCAAATCCTCAACCGTTCCATCATCTTAGCCGTTCCAAGTTCATTTTCCGATTTGAGTTTTTCTGGTCATGCTGTGGTTCCAAATGCTTGCTCAAAGAGCGAGGTTTTCACTCTTTTTCGAAAGGTCAGGAGGGAGGGGACTAATACTAATATCCCTAGGCAGGGAGTTCCACAGCCGAGGGGCCACCACTGAGAAGGCCCTGTCTCTCATCCCCGCCAAACGTGCTTGTGAAGCAGGTGGGATCGAGAGTAGGGCCTCCTTGGACAATCTTGGAGAGATGCGTTCGGATAGATAAGCTGGGCCAGAACCGTTTAGGAAGAAAAGACCAATTGGAAGAAAAGACCAATTGGGGGGGGGGGGCAGGGAAGCTCTCCCCTCCTCATTGGGATTTGGAGAGGAGGAGGAGGGAAAGCCCCCCTCCAAATACAGGCATACACACACATTGGAGATTGGAGAAAGATAAGGAATCCCCCTGGACTCAGGATGCAGGGGAGCTGCAACTGGAAGGGTGGGGGAGAAGAAAGGGGATCCCCTTCCACTGAGTTTGGGGTGGGGGAGAAAGAGGGGGAACCCCATTTCTATTTAGATTTAGAGGGGGGAAGGAAAGCCTTGCTACATTGAGAAGCCACTTTGGGTCTCCTTGGGGAGAGAAAAAGCAGGGCATAAATAAACATAGAGTTACAAGCTGGGTAGATGCAGGGAATGCCGTGGATGGAGCGTACCTGGATTTCAGGAAGGCCTTCTTTGACAAGGTCCCCCATGACCTTCTGGCAAGGAAACTAGTCCAATGTGGGCTAGGCAAAACTACGGTGAGGTGGATCTGGAATTGGTTAAATGGACGAACCCAGAGGGTGATTCTCCCCAAGGCTTCCTCTTCATCCTGGAAAGAAGTGACGAGTGGAGCGCCATCCGCAGTGTTCCGTCCTGGGCCCGGTCCTGATCAGGATCTTGATTCATGACTGAGATGAAGGGTGAGAAGGCAGGATCATTAAGTTTGCAGACGACACCAAATTGGGAGGGAGAGCCAAGACTCCAGAGGACAGGAGCAGGACTCAAAACGATCTTGACAGATTAGAGAGATGATTGACCAAAACTAACAAAATGAAGTTCAACAGGGACAAATGCAAGATACTCCACTTTGGTAGGAAAAACGAAATGCAAAGATACAGAATGGGGGAGGCCTGGCTTGAGAGCAGTACGTGTGAAAAAGATCTTGGAGTTCTCGTGGACAACAAGTTAAACATGAGCCAGGAATGTGATGTGGCGGCAAAAAAAGCCAATGGGATTTTAGCCTGCATCAATAGGAGCATAGTGTCTAGATCTAAGGAAGTCATGCTCCCCATGCTCGATTCTGCTTTGGTTAGACCACATCTGGAATATTGTGTCCAATTCTGGGCACTACAATTCAAGGGAGATATTGACAAGCTGGAATGTGTCCAGAGGAGGGCGACAAAAATGATTAAGGGTCTGGAGAACAAGCCCTATGAGGAGCGGCTTAAGGAGCTGGGCATGTTTAGCCTGAAGAAGGCTGAGAGGAGATATGATAGCCATGTATCAATATGTGAGAGGAAGCCACAGGGAGGAGGAGGGAGCAAGCTTGTTTTCTGCTGCCCTGGAGACTAGGACGCGGAACAATGGGTTCAAACTACAAGAGAGGAGATTCCATCTGAACTTGAGGAAGAACTTCCTGACTGTGAGAGCCGTTCAGCAGTGGAACTCTCTGCCCCAGAGTGTGGTGGAGGCTCCTTCTTTGGAAGCTTTTAAACAGAGGCTAGATGGCCATCTGTCAGGGGTGATTTGAATGCAATATTCCTGCTTCTTGGCAGAATGGGGTTGGACTGGATGGCCCATGAGGTCTCTTCCAACTCTAGGATTCTGTGATTCTATAACTGCAGCCAGAATCATGTTTGCTAGACACTGACAAGAGAAAACCCAACAGAAGAAGAATGGAAACTCAAAATAATGGATATAAAGAATATGGATAGACTAAAAAAAAAACCCCAACAGATGGCCATCCAGCATCTGTTTAAAAGCCTTCAAAGAAGGAGCCTCCACCACACTCCAGGGCAGAGAGTTCCACTGCTGAACAGCTTTCACAGTCAGGAAGTTCTTCCTCATGTTCAGGTGGAATCTCCTTTTCTGTAGTTCGAAGCCATTGTTCTGCATCCTAGTCTCCAGGGGAGCATTAAACAAGCTTGCTCCCTCCTCCCTTGTTCTTGCAATTCAGCTTCTTCTTTTTTTCTCCAAGCCACCGGCTTGTTTACTCCTTAAACCCAGATCTTTAATTGCTTTAGTGCTGATTTGCCGAACTCTAAG